GCTGAGCAATCATTGGAAGGACGTTATTAACCAAGCAAAGTCGTAACTTGCTGTGGTGCTTCCATTCTTCCCTGCCGTTTGTCGGTTATTTCCGACTCTCTGAGTTGCATTGTCCTGTTGGGTGCCTCTGCATTAACAGGCTGGGGTCTCACTAACATGGCCACCTCTGCTCCCTTAGCCTCGATGTATCGATAGTTCTGGCTGTGTGATGGGCTGTGTGTCTCACTGGCGCGACCACCGTTGCGGTGGTTCTCTTGCGTGGACGTGCTTGCCTCACAGCGCAGTTGGCAGTGCCGCAGCTTGTGTTACACATAGGCATGACATTAACTTACTAATCCCCCTAATCTCCCTGCCTAATCTCTGCCATTAACATAGTGCTAATCTCCCCTATTAACACAACTGACGTGCTTGCGTCCGGGGATGGAATTCCTTTCCAGCTCAGACCCGCTTGCTTGCCCTATCGCCACATATATAACCTTGTTGTAACAGCTCTCTCGCTGGTTCAGCAGTTCCACTGGTTGATTATTTTTTCCGCCTGAGGACGACCGCTTGTGTTATGATCGAAACGTCGTGATATATTATTATTTTTTGTTTCATTTTATTTTTCTACCTACGTGACTTTACCGAAAGAACCAAAGAGTATGGATTCCTGCAGTCACGAAAGCTTCAAATCAAGATTGAAATGGCTTGTAAATGAGCAAATGTTATAAACCCGTGATGGCACACGTGTGCTACGTTTCCACCGGCAGTACAACGGACTTGGACCCAAGCCGTGCCGAGTCACACCTGGGATGTCCCGGCACAGCTCAGTTGTTGTCTCCGCACGCAACTTCGTGGGCTCATCCACTCCATTCTGTCTATACCACCTCTTTCACCCCTGCCTTATCTTCCAGAGCCAATGATATTAGTACCTATATCTTCATTTTTTAAACAGGAACTCACTTGCCTGGTTTATTGCAATGAGGCATTGTGTTCATGAAGCCAGACCAGTCGTGCCAAGTTTTTTCGACCATAAGTATTGGCACACGCACACCTCCGACTAGCACGGTTGGCTATGTACGGTGCGAAAGAAGTTCAACGTACATACAACATACATGTATGCACCTAACTCTTTGCACCGATTTCCAGACCGGACCGGCAAGCACACAGGAATCCCACACCTTCCCCAACATTTACAAGACTGACATGGCTAACCCTGCCCACACCTCATCTTCGTGTCGACCTCTATAACACAGAGGCTGTTTAACACACAGAAGTAATCTATGGATAATCTACGCCTGTGCTTATTTGCAGCAGATGAATATCTCGGGATTGACTGCAGAGAAAGTTTTTGGAAGGTACATTGGAGTTTCAAATATAAGCAAGAGTGACAGGTATGAGATTGTGAGATTGTTATCCTCACAGTGAGGGTGAGAAATACGGTGGTTGGTGGTTGGTGGTTGTGGTGGTGGTGGTGAATATAATCGTGATCTAATCGTGATTTTGCTAATCATGGTGATAATAGCTGTGGTGGTAATGGTGGTCTTGGTTACAATGATGATTATTTGATAATAACGATTTGTATGATCGTGGTGGTGGCGATGGTGGTGGTAAAGGTGGTTGTGGACGTGATAGTGGTGGTGGATGTGAGGAGCGGTGGTGAGGTTGTTAGCGCACTGTAATTCTCACTCATGTCCAATAATAGTGGTGAATATTTTAACTGGGCTTTCCCTAGGTCGACTCAGCCTTAAATGAGTATCTGGTGCAGTGTGTATACATGGCCACTATAAAGACAAAGGCGATCAGGCGTGGTGCTGACCACCCACGCCATCGTGTGCCGTGCCGGCCTTCATAGGTGCTCGCGAACAGAACTTGTCCCAAAAAGTCTGTGAAGGCTATACAGGGGACTTTTGTCATTGGCAGTGGTGGTGGATAGTGGTGGCAGAGGATTTGGAGGCTTTGATATGGTGCCATTAAAGTGAAGCCCTTCCATGGTTAACAGAACAAATACTACGATTCCTGCATATTGGTTTATGTCACTTTTAATTTGAGAAAAAAAATATCCTCAGCCTTATTAGAAAAAAATGAATGCGGCTTTTTTTCCCCCTATTAGGTTCTCTTTTCAGATTGCAAAAAAATTACTCTGTATGAAGCACGGAACACTGGAAAACGAAATGATTATTATTGCTGTCAAGCTCTTTTGAGCATCTCAGTTGAACAATAAAGTAAGCACGCAAAGTGACGACCAGGATCACCCTAACTTGGGCCAAAGACTTCCATCAGTCAATTTACAATCACCGGGGGCCGAGCATGTGTGTTGAACTTCTTTCGTGTCGTACGCAACCAACCGTGCAAATCAGTCACGCTCAATCAACTGCTGGACTAAGGCCTTCCCAAGTCACGATCTTGCGATGGAATATTCCACCTCAGCAAGAGCTGAATTGTACGTATGTTGAACTTCTTTCACACTGTACGTAGGCAACCTTGCTAATCGTGGGCATTCAATTGATCATTCCGTCTCCCCAGCGGGCGTGCTCTCGCGTGCATTGAACTCCCTTGGCTGCCACCCCATCGTGAATCTTGACCTCCGTTCATTGTCCCTTCTATAGCGAGGTGCCTTGCTCAATCCCGTTTCGTTTTTTTCTTTCATAGTTCCAATGATGTCATCAACCCGTATGTACTCTCTAAATCTTTGTGTGCCTCATTGTCCTCTCGCAATTTAACTCCAAGCGGGGAAATCTTCCCCCACGCTTTGTTTTTGGACACTCTTCCGTTGTATTTTTCCATTGGTGCCAATGAATTTAGCGTTCAATCTGACCTGAATGTGAAATTGTCGTTTATGCTCTTGCATCTATATCAGCCGTATGAAAGAAGAAGATCGGTGCCAATGCTTCTGAACCACGTGTCCATGTAGGAGAGGCCATGTGTGCCGATTGGACACGCTCCTCCGTAGGCACGGTTCTCTGCAGCGTTTTAAACAATTGCGAATCCTTGCAATTAGATGAAGTTGCTTTGCTGCACCAAAAATCTATACAAATAAAAGGGGGTTTACGTGGCAAACGTACAACTCGCGTTTTTAATTTATCGATTTATTCACAGCTAATGTATCATCGCCGCAGTCAATGTCTCCTTTATATTGCGCTAATGACGCAGCCCAATAATTGCATCGTTCATCAGAGGTCGGGAGAAATTTGATTTGGGGCGACTGACCAATGTTTCCATATTAGGCGAGATTAAATTAACCGGGGATTGAATGTCCTCCCATTACTCAGTACAAATTGTGGGCCTCGTGGCAGGCACATAGAGTAACAAATCAATAACGAGTGTTGCAGAGAATTGCTTTTTTAATCAAATGGCCTTTAGCAGAATAATACTTCAATAGGTACTTTTTTTTCCTCTCTCTCTGAGAATTGAAAGTGCAAGTGTAAAATGTCGATGTCTTCCCAACAGAATAGTGCTCCTTTAACCTGCGGTGGACCCTTCGTGATGGATTACCATCGCGAGCATCCTCTATATCGCCCTGCCCCTCCTCAGATCCTTGAACAGCGAGCAGAGGTGAAGAAGCACGATGCTTCACTCGCCAATTCCCCCAAACGATCAAAACACCACTGAGCATGGCGAATAATGACGGCCGGTGATGCAGCCGCAAGGTAGACTGCATCATGGGTGGTGAGGGGGGAGGTGCAGCTAAGCAGCCAAAAAGTGGGGTAAAGTGTGAGTACTCCCGCTTTGCCAGTGTGGAAGATTAGGCCAAATACATCATGAAGAGACGTGTTAGTGCTCATTCTAGTGGAGGGCCTTCCACCAGCAGTGGTGTGAGAAAGTCATTTCGGGGTTGCACTTTGACCTAAGACCACATTTATATTTACATAAACTAAACTATTTAAAAAAAAGTATTTTAATTTTACTAGCTTAGGTCCACTGAGCTATATAGCTCTTCTTTAAGAAGCTACCTGGTCACAAGTTATAGCTCAACGAATTGGCTTATCATTTAGAAATTGATAGCAGTCAAATACTCTAAATACATGTTTCCAAATGTGGAGATACAGACCGGAGGAGCTGGAGAGAAATCCACGTGACCACATGCAAACTCCAAATATATGCAAACTCCAAATATACAGGCGTCAGATTCGGAATCGAACCACAATAGCCTGTATACGACGCGAGGTAGTTAACATCTCGCCACCGCGGTTGCTGATGCAGAGTAGCATTGTGATATAGACTATCTATATAAGCTATAGGCAGCTGCCGATGCTTACACTAGGTTCTCAGGTGTCGCGAGTGAGTAGTCTCAGCTCAATCACCAATGACTGCAGACAAAAAAACCCCCCATCATATGAAATCGAGTCTTCCACTTGATTTGGCAAAATTCCAGCTCGAAGAATCAAGCAATGGATTGATGTTCGCTGTCACGCAACAAACAATTCCATAGTACAGATCATGGTCAAGTGTGTTCCCGACTGTGGAAAAGGATAAAAAGTTCCCTTGAAGGATTTTTCAGAAGTCCTGTAAAATATGCCTTCCACAGGCCGATCTTTAGCGCACAGACTTAACATGCTCTTTGGGATTTCTGATTGGATTTTTCATCTCATTACAGGATGCCGGGATAAATTGGAGGGGCAGGAAGGGGGTGAATGGGATCCCGGTTCATGAGTGGATAAAGGGGGCCTCAGTGAGATGTGAACACACTCCAAGGTCCAACAAAAACCAAACCTCAAGAGTCATTGGTATGAAGGTCCTGGATTGGGATGTTGGCCAAATTCCATCAATGCTCGCTGTTGTGTTTTCCAGTTGTGTCCCCCAAACAAATATTTTCTTTCATTAACCAAACTTATTGTGCATGACTCAGGGGTAAACACTCAAATCTCTGCACCGATAATAGTCAATAATCCATTACTGTTCAGCCACCTCCTGGCTTTTTGCCATCAAATTAATATAAAGTACATACATATATATAAAGGTTGATTGCAAATCACGTACCGACGTTAGTGACGGAGTAACAAACGCTCCAACGAACGCACCTTTACAAGTTTTGCCGTCTGGCTGCAACGTGAACCCGGCTGGGCAGCTGCAGTGCACGCCGGTGGAGGTGTCCTTGCAGGTGCGGTCGCAGCCGCCGTTGTTGATGGCGCATGTTTCTGCGGAGGAGACGGGACAGGGCGTGCGCGATGTTAACCTGCCCTGCCTGGCGCTGGCCTCGTCTGCAGCAGCGGCAGCAGCAGCAGCGGTAGTGGCAGCAGCGGTAGCTTCTGCTCGATCGGTCACCCCACTGGGTCGAAACAAACGCCGCGGGGTTTTTTTGTTTGTTTTGCGAAACCCACTCTTTCATTCTTTGTCTCTGTTTTCTGGTGGTTGTTTCGTCTCAAAGAGGAAATAACGACCTTGAACTGAGGCGCAACTCAATTTGCCTACACCAGAAATCGCATTCATGCATAAAGCCCCTACCTGTCTTGTTTATTTTGGTAAAGTGATTATTAAGTTGTGTTTTTGTTGTATTTTCTTTTTTACCTAAACCTAGCCGATTGATGTCTGGTGTGTGTGTGTTTGGGCACCACAAAAGGGCAATTGATTACATCTCTCACAAATTGTTTTCTCGGCTAGAATATGAGAAGTAAGGTCAAGTGGCATTTTTTTAATGGTAGATGCTGCAGGAAAACGGTCAGGAAACACTTGGTTTGTTCGCACACATAAACAAGGTAAATGAAAAAAATATATATTGGAAATACAGGGAACAGCAAAGGTCAGGGTGGGGAAGAGATGGAGGAAAAGCACAATTAAAATGCTGGCAACAGGATGAGGAGGACATCAGGAATGAAGTCGTGAAGATTTATTTTCAAATGGCAGGAGTCTTTACTTACCCAGATAAAATATCACTTGCAAGCCGATGACAGACATTTCTTAATTGTAACAAGAAATGATCACGATGACTTAAATGTGAAAAGTATTGCCGGGAAGGAATTAAATATATATTCGGGATTGGATGTAAATAGTTGGTAGCATGCTCAGAACTACCCAGTGTCAACGATTCAGCCTTGAAACTCCAATTTTTACTGGCTGTTAGGATTTATTTTATTTATTATTGAGGGTATTCATAGCCTCTATCATTCCACCAAAGTAGGATTCGTGCCAAGAGCGGGAGGGTGGGGGAAAAAAATTGAGAACGGCATTGCATCCAGGTTCATTTGGATGGTAATGCCTTTTAAAGTCATATCGTATTACGAACGTAGAACCAATCTCTGACTCTGAAAAGTGTGTATGTCAGTGGCAATGTGGGTATAATAATAATAAAGGCATTACTAACGAGACTGTGCGCAACGTTTGTTTTGGAACGACATGACACGGATGAAAACGATTCTCGTAATACATCTCACTCTTCCATCTTTATTCATTCCAGCGGTAAGAGGACGGGGCTGGGATTTGACGGTGTGTGTTTGAAAAAATATATATAAAAATAAAGGGTGTGTAAAAGCTCAGATATGCGCGGAGTGCAAGCCTCTATTAAATTAACGTGTCGTTTTTATTAAGTTTGATTCGATCCCAGTCGCGTAAAAGGGTACAACCCACCACAGTCAATCAATTGGCAGGGTTGCGTGTACGGTGGGGTAAATCGTGGGTATTCCCATCTCTCCCCAGACGTTTGGCCAGCGTGCATGAGTAGGTCAATAACCTCTAGAGCTCCCTCCAGTGGAGGCCCATCCACCAGCAGTGACGTGGGCAAGCAATTGCGGGGCTCCACCTGAACCTTTCATTAATTAATTTGGGGTCCGGGGGGGGGGGGTTCTTCTTTCCATAACCCATTGAGGTTCGTATTGAAAGTTCTCCAAATAGTACACGTGCAGTGGTATGGAATGGTGTAAATTATTAAAACTGTTGACCTAAGTACATAGCGGGTTTTATAGATATATTACGTTTTACATTTCAATATCGTTAGGCACGGTTAATTGTTTCAGGTGTGCATTGTGAATCAGATTCGGATCAGGAGAATGAAATGGCCGGGATGGAGTGGGGCGTGGACCCATCGACTACAAACAATTCCCATGCACACGATGCTCACGCATCGAATCGTGTGTGCGAAAATTGATTCTTTACAATTTGTTATAATCTGGGTGACATCGATAAGCGATGGCGCTGTGGTTGGCACACTGCCCTATGAATGAACCCAGCTACCCACAATTAAATTCCCGGACACGGCTAACGCCAGTGGCGAGCGGGTATCTGAACGGGGCCTGTGGCCTCCCACCTTCACCAAACTCAACTGATAAGCGTGGTGAAGTATTGTCAAACAACCCACGTGACTGACACGGCATGTGGAGGCCTTTATCCAGAATATTCAATTACATTACATCTTAGCATTCACAAGGCTTTACCATCACTCGTGGTGATGCAATGTAACAATGCACCCGACCTCATTTCCTCACTGCATCTCTCTACCGGAAAGATCCTCTGGGGTGTTGTTCCCTCCTTTAGCTGCCACTACATCATTAGTCTCTGAATCATAGCTCCGGTCCTGCCCAAGCCCACGTTGATTAACAGTCAATGTGATGTACTTTAGTTCATTTGTTCCCATTTCTGCCTCTTAATGCCATTGCTAGAACATAGCTCTCCTTGCTTCTTTGCGCACTTATCAGCGTGCACACTTCCTGAGGACGTCGAAAACAGACGCTTCGCCCGGCCCGATGTAAGGCAGTCGGGCCAAGTTCAACACTGATTTTGGCCGCATACAATCAAAGACTTGCAGACGGAGGTTGATCTATAATGACAATTGGGAGGACAGAATACTCTGGGGAAAGCTGTCATTTGTGTATTGCCAGTAAGTGTGCACATTGTCAAGATTTGGGGGTTGCAATTTGAGAGTCTATTCATATTTTGAGTCTAATTTTTACTGTCTCACTTGCATCGTTTCTATTTTAGATGGTTTCGTGGTTAGGGCTTCAACTCAAGGATCTGCAATTTTTGCCTTGATTGTGTGTTGTGCATTTTTTCACAATTTGGGGGTCGCGATTCAATTCAAGAGTGGATACATTTTTTGTCTTTTTCTTTTTAGCTTTCTCATTTGTATTGTTTCTTGTTTGTACCGCCCCATTTGCATCATGTATCTGCGTGTCACGTGATAATTCACGTACATCATGTATGATTTTTACACGTACGATATGAGTGAGAATCGATTTTAATGAATTACTCGGTGCATCGATACATACATAATTACCCATTGGAAAGCGATTCATTCTGTTGTCAATAATCCGGATTTTTTTTCAGTTAGTTGCATGTTAATGCAATTTTTTTTTTAGCAAATTTTTTTTTTATTAGCAATTTTAGGGCATTGCCATTGAATAACAGGATGTAACAGCCATTAGCTATATTTACTTAATTTAAGCAAATCTGCACCATTATAAAATTTGGGATTTAGGATACTACACCAGCAAGCACGCATAACTGTGTATCTTTGCATGGAGGCTGTGCACAATATATTATTGCATGTGAAGATATATAATGGAATGGGATATCCTTCACGTGTTATCCAGGATTCTACCGAGTGAGTTTTCGCGGTTGCTCTGTCTAGACCTCTGACGTGTTTTTGGAATGTGCCGCGTTTTGTTCGGCTTGATGTAGGACGTGTTTCTCCGCGTACTGGCAGCTTCTTCAACTCAGTTCCTAAAGAAGCTCCCTGCTCTCGAACAAAAACGTCGTGCATTGTGCTGAACAGCACACGGGCGGCACAGCCAGAAAGCACTTCGGAGAGCTGTAATCCACTACAGAGCTCGGTAAGGTTTCACAATCTACAATTCATTTTTCTCATGGTCAAAAATTTGCGCCAATGCTCTGGGGATGGCCTCTACTGAATTATCTGCTCAGTGGCTAGAGGCATGTGCTCTGGCCTACTGCAAAAGACCAAACAAAGCAAAGAAATTACGCAGAGCGCCCGGAGCTGGCTCACAGTTCGGATGAATAAACACTCAGCCAGAGCGCGCGACAGTAAGACGTCTTAGGTTAGGGGCGGGCGACGTGGAGGGGTGCGAGTTGGTGGGGTCTCTGGGATGCTGGCGAGGGTGAGGGGCGGAGAGGGGAAGGCAGCGGAGGGCTGCTGTCTGGGGTAGAGCAAGAGAAGGCTGTGTTGACTTTTGCAGAGCGCTCTCAAACAGCGCCGTACCACCACCGCCTCCTCCTCTGCCGCCAATGCTACTGCGCAACAACAGCACGAGGGCCGATACCAGGGGCTGCACACGCCAAATGCCACACCCCCATGGAAAGTACATGGACAGCGGCCGGTGGCTTTTGTACCCCAAGGCACGTCGTCGTCAAATTCCAGCTAGCAGGGAAAAGGAGAGGGGCCTCTTGGAAATGTCCACGGCGCTTGCCCAGGCACACACACACACACACGCGCGCGCGCATATACACAGCCACAGTGGGCGTGCATGCGTGCGTGTGTGCCACGTTCCATGGTTTTGTGGTTCCATTGATCGGGGACGCTCTGCCCAAACGTACGAGATGTGAATGCCTTCAGCACCTGTGGCACACCGCGATGAATGGTGGAATTAATCGTTGGCCGATTGCTAAGTGGGTTAAGGGTGGCAGCCCCGCAAGTGCTCGCTCACACCACTGCTGGTGGAAGGGTTTCCACTCGAGGGGGATCAATAGAGCACCATAGAGCCCCCTATAGTTGTGTATTTGGCCTACTCTTTCACACTAGCCAGACATCTTGGGGAAGGTGCGAGTACCCACACTGTCGATCGACCGCTGGGTGGACAAAGGATAGGAAACTCGGCCAAGTTTCAGCTGCCTTGCCGGCAGATCAAACCAGTGAGCTCTGGAGTGCAAGTTCAGGGTGCTCAATGTTATGCCACAGCTACATCTCATAATGAATAACGAATTATTGAATATAGTAGGTGTGCGGTATTCATCGTTTTGGCTTAGTGTTGCAAGCCACTGCTATACGAAGGGCTCTCAATGATGTGCTCGTGCTGGGGGTCATGTGACCATACTTCACCACAGCGGCCAGTGCAGGTGGGTGAAGGGGCTTGCAGAAAATGAAAAAAAAATGGGAAAATCTCCAAAGAATGGAAACTAAAAATCTACACTTATTTAAATAAAATAAAAACATTTGACCCGATAGTCTGTTCTTAATGTCTACAAATGAAAA